TGAATATTCGGCCATACTGTACCGTATTAATCCCGTCTGTGGCTCTAGAAGCATGGTGGAGGAGGCGGTGGGGTGGGTGGGTGGTGTTGGGAGGGGTGCGTCAGGAGGGACCACCTGGGTACAGGAATTACCATTAATTTTAGAATACTTAATCATAGCCAAAAACAAATGAAATAAGTACTAGTAATTATAATAACAAATAAATAAGTTTCCTAAAAGTAATGTGCACAGGTTGAAGTTTCCTTAAAAAATATTGAGTTTTTTTCCTCCTGGCGGCCTACGTAACGTGCTATAGCTGCCCCACCCCAAGTGGACCCGTCCCTCGTGTTATACACAGTGCTGCGCCATTAGTGAAATATTTTTTTAAATAATTTTTTTATTTTCATAGTAACTTTGAACATTTGTGGCCAAGATTATGTCTGGTAGCAGCATCAATCGTTCTGGAGGTGTTAAGAGGAAGAACGTTGTCCTAGCAATTAAAGACAAGTTATGTGTTGTTCAGCCAGTGAGGCGTCACAGGCAGCCAAATGCCTTCAACGAGTGAGGTGCCACAGGCAAGCCAAGCGCCTTCAACAAGTGAGGCGCAAGCAAGCGCCTTTAACAAATGAGGCGTCACAGGCAAGCCAAGCGCCTTCAAGTGAGGGCATGCAAGCGCTTCAACAAGTGAGGCGCATGCAAGTGCCTTCAACAAGTGAGGCCTCACAGGCAACCCAAATGCCTTCAACCAGTGAGGCTTCAGCAGCTGGCAGTCAAAACTAACTTTGCTTAATGAACTGTACAGTAATTTTAAGTGTTAATTTTAGTGTTGTGTTAGTATAGATTACGTAAATTGTTAAGAATTCTTAACTTCAAGATGTGTGGCATCAATCAAGAAGACGAACACCAACAAGGTAAGTTGAGGTTTCTAGTTGAATATTTAATAATTATATGTGGCAAGGCAATTCAAATTATGTTGTTTGTAGTATAAAAGTAGTTGGAAATTGTCACTTTTGGACTCGTAGGTGAAAAAGTACCATTATCCGAAAAATGTGATAATCCGGCTGGGGGTCCTTCCCATATAGTCCGGATGATCGAGTGGAGACAGTAGTTTGTTTTGGAATTCCTACCTTTCTGGGTGCTTGACCTGGTAGATGGCAGACAAAGACTGCTTCCAGTTCCACGGGGGTGTCTTTAGGCCATTGCTCCTCGTGCCTCTCTTGAGGGGGCCAGGTTCTGGCTCTGGTCCCCTGTAGGCCTAGAACTCCTTCGATTGACTGTTGCCACGGTCTAATATATACACATCAGCCCAGTATAGCTCCGGGAGCCTCCGGGTCTCACCCAGAAAATGGCGCTTCAATTCATTCAGTGCTGGTTTTTTCACATAATTTGTAGATTGTGCATGGCCTATTTTCTCCTATTCCACATTCCATAAGATGGCATTTATTCACATTGAATTCTGTTTGCTAAATGGTGCTCCCCACACTTACTTTATCCAGGTAATCTTGAAGGGCTTGACAATCGTCAAAGTTTCTTATCTTTCTTAGTAGCTTGGCATCATCAGCAAACATATTCATGTAGTTTAATATTCCTTCTGGTAGATCATTTATTTAGATAATGCAGCCCGTCCTCATAAACAAACGCCAAAGTCCATTCCGTACACCCGCCAAACCCCCCGTTTATGAATGAAAAACGTTTTACAAACGACTCACAACTTATGATGTCCGAACACTTCTGGAACTGGTGCTTTGCTGGCAGCTTTTGTTTGAACCACAATGCTGTAAATGCTTCACCCCACGTACTACAAATACAAATAGTCACCAACATAGCCTAAACACCTAACCTAACCAGTGACTAAATATGCACAATATACTAATATATAACATTAATTTATATATGAAAAATTCCTGTTTTGAATGAACAGCGTGTTAAAATTGATGAATGCGTCTCTAGGATTGACAACTGGATGGAACGGACTTTCTCTGAAAATGGGTTGAGATTACAAACATTACTGGTACAAGAACTGAACCCTATGGTACTCTGTTAGAAACACTTCTGCAGATTGATTCATTGCCTTTGATCACTGCCCACATCTTTCTTGCAGTTATAAGAGCTTTTCATCATGTCTGCAGTCTGCCTGTCACCCCTATAGCATGTTCCATTTGTTTTTTCTGTGCGCATGTGTGTATTTTCCTATTTGTGCCTGCAGGATCGAACATTGGCTCTTGGATCCCACCTTTCTGGCCGCCAGTTGTTTTAAAGCAATAACTCTTGTCCTATTTCCCTATCATATCTACAGTGTAGTTTTAAAATTATGAATAGAGTTTGCTTCCACAACCTGCTCCTTTTGTTCATTCTATTTTCCCACTACTCTCATGCTAAAAGAAAACTTTCCAACATCTTTATGACTCATCTGAGTTTCCAGCTTCAACCCATATCCCCTCGTTCTGTTGGTATTCAGTGTGAACATTTTGTTATTTCCTCTCTGTTAATTCCCCTAAGTATTTTATATGTTTCTATCATATCTTACCTATCCCTCCTTTTTTCTAGTGTCATCAGGTTCAGTTCCTTCAGTCACTCTTCATACCCCATCCCTCGCAACTCTGGGACAAGCCTTATTACAAACTTCTGAATCTTTTCCAGTTTCCTTATACTTTAGGTGGGCTCCATGATAGGGCAGCATTCTTTAATACTGGTCTCACGTTGGCAGTGTAAAGTGCTCTAAATGCCTCTTTACTTAGGTCTGAATGACATTCTAACTTTTGCTAGCATAGAGTACGCTGCTGCCGTTATTTGATTTACAGTATATGTGCCTCAGGAGTTAGATTTGGTGTTAGTTCCTTCCCAGGGCTCTTTCTCGAATTGTTACCAGTAGGTAGTTTCCTTTTAATTATGTACTGTCAATTTGGCCACCTGTCATCTAGTCTCATTTCCATAACTTTGCACTTATTCATGTTGAACTCTATTAGCCATTTCTATGACCATCTCTGCAACTTGTTCTAGTCCTTAGAGGATCCTACAATCCTCACCTGTCACAACTTGTCTCATTAATTTTGCATCATCTGCAAACATTGATATACAGGTATAGGACGTGACTCCTGTAGACATGTCGTTTATGTATATTAGAAATAAAACTGGTCCCTGCACTGATCCTTGAGGTACTTTACTTACTACTGTTCGCCAGTCTGACTTCTCTCCCCTTGCTGTTACTCTCTGGCTTCTGCCTTTTGCTTCTTCTTACCCATGTTAGGTCCCTTCCGGTTACTCCCAGCTACTTCTCAAGTTTGATCAACAGTCTCCTGTGCAGTACTCTGTCAAAGGCTTTTTGGCAGTTTAGAAATATGCAGTCTGTCTGTCCTGCCCTGTCCTGCCCTGTCCTGCCCTATTCGTGTTACTTTATCATAGAATTCCATAAGGTTTGTTAGGTATGGTTTTCCTTTCCTGAATCTATGTTGTTGTTTGTTTATATACCTAATTTTCACTTTAACAATTTCATGTTTTGGGCAAGAGAGCGCTACGCCACCCCAAGGTGGACCTCGCATTCCACGGGAGCGCGCGGTAATACTGAAAAGTGTATAAATTACTCTTTTCAACTTTGCCATCTCAATTCTCGTCCTAGGTTTTTTCAATTCAGTATCAATGTGCTCGCAATAGAATTCTCTTCAGGACTAAAGGCATATAAAGTCAAAAAGCCCAGAGTACCATCCGGAACAAACAGGAAAAGTGAGAGCGTGTTACCCGGGAGTGCGCAAGAGCAATAAAATGTGTACACTCTCTTCACTTCGGTCACCTCAGTTCTCGTCCTAGGTCTTTCATTTTGGTATCAATGTGTTCGCAATAGAATTCCCTACAGGAGTATATGCATATAATGTCAAAAACCGCGGTGTGCTCCACCCACCGACAAGATGAAAGAGGGCTGTGGTTACCCGCAAGAGAATGCCGCGCCACCTCAAGGCGTGCCTGGCATTCCATTAGAGCATGCAGTACTCCTGAAAAGTGTATACAATACTCTTTTTTTTTCCACTTTGTTATCTCTGTTCTTGTCCTAGGTTTTTTCAGTTTGGTATCTACATGTTCGCAATAAAATTCTCTACAGGACTAAGGGCATATAAAGTCCAAAAGCCTGGCGCACCATCCACAACAAACAGAAAAAGTGAGAGCATGTTACCCAGGAGCATGCAAGAGCAATAAAATGTGTACACTTCTCACTTTGGTCACCTGAATTCTCGTCCTAGGTATTTCATTTTGGTATCATTATGTTCGCAATTGAATTCCCTACAGGAATTATGCATACAGGTATATAAAGTCCAAAAACCTGCTGTATTACCCACATCAAACAGAGAAAGTGACAGTGCGTTACTCCCGTGAGTGCTCATCAAGAGCAATAAAATGTTTATACTCTTTTCAACTTTGTTACCTCAATTCTTGTCCTAGGTCATTTCATTTTGGTATCAATGTATTCACAATGAAATTCCCTACAGGAGTATATGCATATAATGTCCAAAACCGCGGCGCGCCCCTCCTGCAGCCAAGCCGAAAGCAGGCCAAATTGTTAAATTTTTGACGCCATACTTCGTCGTTACCGAACATTTGTCTACTAAATTTTTGACGCCATACTGCATCGTTACTGAGCGAAAGTGTTAAGTGTGTGACCAGTCTTAACCTGATTATTCTTTCAAGTACTTTTCATGGGATGCTTGTCAGTGATATTGGTCTGTAGTAAAGTGCCTCTTCCCTATCTCCTTTCTTGAAAATTGGTATCACATTTGCCTTTTTCCAGCAACTGGGCAAATCTGCCTCTGTAAGCGACTCATTAAAGATCCTTGTTAGAGGCACGCTGATGGCCTGCGCTGCCACTTAATTAAGTACCCACGGTGTTTCAATGTCTGGTATGTGTGGGTAGGTGGGTGGGATTATTGATATATGCCTATTTGTGCCTTCAGGATTGAGGTTTAGCTCTTGAACCTCACCTTTGCATCTGCTGTTTGTTGTGTTTTATAAATAGTTTTTGTTTTCTGCAACAGGTGAGGGGGCAGGTGATGGTCCAGCAGTAAGCACAGGGTCAGTGGAGGCGGGGTCTCCCTGCTGTGGCGGTGGCGAGGGTGGCTCAACTCCTCCTGCCATTCGTTGGTCACAGTCTCTTCTCCACCTGCTGGAGGATCCCATTGGAGTGCACCTTTTCCAAGATTACCTCAAGGAGGAGTGTGGCACATGTGAGTCGCTCAACTTCTGGTTCGCCTGCAACGGCCTCAGAAAGTCTGATCATCAGGACTCGTCGCAGCTAGTGCCCATCATCTGGAAGCGTTTCATCAGGAACTATGCCGTGCGGGTCACGGAGAAGACGTACAAACTGGTCAATGATCGCATTAATGCGCGGAGCATTGATCGCAATATATTTGATGCTGCACAGAGAGAGGTAATTTTATAAGCACTTCTATTTTATAAAAGGCTAAATTTTGATTGATAGTACAAATAATATAGATTGATTGATAAAGATTGTACAGTACTTTAAAAATATTTGAATATAATACTTTTAATAAAAAAGCCTTTGACATGGAAAAATTCACTTAACATGACAAAAACTTTGCTAACCTGTTCATAAAAAGAAAAAAGTTTGATAACCCAGTTGATAGGGGGGTTGAATAAGGAAAAAAATCATGGAAAGCTGGAATAAGTTTTATCGTCTTCATAATAGGGTACTTAATATCTTTAATTTTCCACCCCTCTGCTGCCCTGGAATTGGCTGCCATCTTGAAAAAATTATGGCCTCATGGCCAAAAGCATTTTTTTTTTAAATATCATGCTTAGGACTCATTTAAGAAGAAAATGTGTTTATATAAAAATAACCTACATAAAGTTCTCTACAAAACATGTTCTATACATTTTTCTAATGCGCAGCATGGTTTTGATGCTAGAGGTGCCAGAAGGCTCGCACCATTTTCTTTCATGGCCCATGTTACCTAATATAACTTTGACAATTTTGTTGCAGGGGTGTCTTTCATCCTTTATTCTGGCGTAGGATATACAGTGATTGCTCACTGGCAGAGTTACCACCCTTGTATCTAACCATCCACACTAAGTGCTTATCCTGGATAAAGTTATCAGTAGTCGTTGCCTGACCAATTACTACTGCATATTTAGAAATATTATTGTTCTCCTTGAAAGCTTTGAGTCTCGTGCTAAAAACAGTGTGGGCCTGGTTGGGGGGGGGGGTCTGCCTTAGTTCTTGGCCCCCCCCCCCCCCTGTGTACTGAGTACTCTTCCCTCTTCCGGTGGTTCCCCCTGCTAGGTCCTCGTGAGTGTACGCGTCTCGAGGGTTCAGTTCTTAGAAAGTTGCTTGGTATTTGTGGGCGCTGGTTAACAGTACCCTACCTGGGATTACCTGGGCATGAGTCCCCTGTAGGTAAACACTCAGGACCCTGGGAAACCCCGAGGGGGTGTGTGGGTCCAATGGATGTGGCCCCAGAGCCCCCCCCCCCCCTTCCTCACTTTGTGTGGGTTTGAGGGTTGCTTTGTCCCCTTGTCTCAGGGTGACTCTCACTGTTTTGCCTCCACCTGCTGCCTGTGGGGTCCGTGGCACCTTCGGCTCGGAGCCCTGCTTGTTTGTGGTTTGATTACCCAGTCATAAGCAGACTATGCGGGTGCAGGCAACACGGGCATTGCTAGTTGAGTTTCGGTGGTACTTTGCTCCTCGGGGCTGCCCTGTTTTGGTTAGTGTGATCGGGCTTGGGGGTGTTGGACACTTCGGTTTTGTTCCTTCTACGGCCCCTTGTCTTATCCCTGTTATGGTCCCCCCCCCTTCCTTCCTCCCTGCATCTGGATCCGTACCGTTTGTGTGTTCAGGGTCGGGGTGGGGCTTCGTTGGTCTTGAGACTCGGGTGGTCTCGGGGATTCCCTCTTCCGGGGTAGCGACGGAGGCATTCAAGCCCGTTCCTCCAGCCGTGTTGTACGAGTCTGCCAGTGGGCTCCTTTCTTTAGTTCTTGTCCGGTGCCCGAGCTTTTCTTGTGAGGCTGGGACTTTGGGGGAACGGCTCGGCCCCGGGACCTGCCTAGTGGGTTCCCGTGGCGGGTGAGGTGCTGACATTTGGACCCCGCCTGGGTTTTTTTGCCCTCTGGGCGGGGCTTGAGGTTACGAGGAGTGGGATTTTTTCTTCCTCCCTCCCTCTCCGTACATGTTTTTGGGAGTCGGCCCCTCCCCGGGATTGGTTCCTTGTCCCATGGTTCTGTCGGGTCTGTCCTGTGGTGGGTCCGTTTCTCCACCCTTCTTCTGGGGACAGGCCTTCACAGTCTTGTTCCCCTCTTCTTGGGGATCTGCATGACTTTTGGTCTCGGGTGCGACTTGCTTTCCATGCCTTTGTGCTTCGCGCTTGCTTCTTTTTGTTCTAGAAGCGTCGGGAGGGTTTTGATTCTTCCCATATTCTTGGAACGTCTGTTTTGTCTTACAGTCCTTTCTAGGGCTTGTTGGTCCTTCTCCAAGCTTATCGGTTTTCGGTCCTGTTTCGTTCTTTCTTGTTTGTCTCTTCTCTGTGCACTGACCTGCGCTGCACAGGGTTGCCAGATTGGGCTCCTTGTAGCCCATATGGGAAGCTATGCTATGTTTCTTTTCGCTCCTTCCTGCTCTTTTCAACTACGGTTGGCGGCTGCCCTGTATACTCTCATATGGGTTTCGGTTGTTAGCAACACTATTTTGTCTATTTTTCTTTTCACTTTCGTGATTTCTTCTTCAGCTCGCGACTTCTGGCGACCCTGACAGCTGAGTGGACAGCGCTTCGGATTCGTAGTACTGAGGTTCCGGGTTTGATTCCTGATGGTGGCAGAAACAAATGGGCAGAGTTTCTTTCACCCTGATGCACCTGTTACCTAGCAGTAAATAGGTACCTGGAATTTAGACAGCTGCTACGGGCTGCTTCCTCGGGGGGGTGTAAGAAAAAGGAGGCCTGGTCGAGGACCGGGCTGCGGGGACGCTAAGCCCTGAAATCTTCTCAAGATAACCTCAAAAGAAGATGACCCACATTTGGCATCCCTGCTGCGCATGCGCCATGGTTATTTTGATATGGGCGGTGTGCACATGTGCTGGGGATTTGCGTCCCTTTTCTCTCGGGTGCTTTGCCTCTCGCTCTTCTCAATTCTCCAGTCCGTGCCCCGTAGCTCCTGGGGGCATTCTGGATTGCTGCTGTAGGGAGGATGCTGGGTTTTCCTGCATATGGGTTTGGGGCTCGTCCTTCGCCTTTACCCTACTCTTCCCCTGCATTGTGCGGCTCTGCCTTCTTTCACTGGCGGTGCTCCCGGAATCTTCTCGGCTACGTTGTGTCGTGACACGTTCGTGCCTACGTTCTGCAGAGAGTTATGCGATATAACATCTCTTTCAACCAGGCGTTGGTTCGTGTTTTGGGTTACGTATATCCGAATATCAGAACACAGGTGACTGCAGCAGGCCTATTGGGCCATACAAGGCGGCTCCTATTTATACCCCCTATTTATACCCCTCCTGTCCCACTCTTATGTATGTCCAGCCCATGCTTCAGTCCAGATAGGGGCCCCACTTCCACCAGGTTACCAGGTACAATGGTGGGGGGGTATATGTTATGGGGTAAGTGTTCCTGTCTGAATGTTTTGAGGTGACATTTTGCTGCAGTTTTCATGCTGTGGATGCATGTTGTGGATTGGTTGTGGATTTTTGTTGGCCCTTCCGTGCTTCCTGGGGCCTTACTTGTTCTTCTGGGTTAATGGTTGCACGGGGGGTCATGGCCCTGTTTTTCGTAGTCTTATCTGGGTCACTCTTCCTTGCACGTGTTGCAGTGCCTGGCTTAGCTTTTCCATATACATTGGTTCCTCTGTACGGTACTTAGTTGATTCTGATTTGTTGATTCTCCTGGGAGGTCGCTCTGGACTCTATCTCAGAAGCGTTGGGCCAAGGCTTGGGCCTTGGGTTGTGTGGTCAGGGGGGGAGGCCTGTGGTGCCAGTTTCTGAGTTGGTGGTGTCTGCCCATTGTTCCTCGCCGGTGCCAGAAATCGAACCTGGACCACAGTATTGAGAGTCCCACGCCATGTCCACTCAGTGACCAGCACCCCATGGGATTGTGTGGGATTCTCAGACTGCGTCCCTTTCTCTCCCTCCTGCGACCTTGCTCCGGATGTTATTGTGGGGGCCCTGGTCACTCGGTGGTTGTTTGAGCAGCTGTGTGGGAGCCTGAACTTTGCTCTTCTGGTTTATCCTCTGGGCAGGGTTTGGCTTCAGAGGTTGTAATGGTATCTTCGAGGCAGCCTCTTTTGGCCCTTTTGTGATCGCTGGGTTCGTACCCCAGTGTGCTAACGTCGGTTGCTGCGTCATGGCTTCCTCTTCGGGTTTTTCAGGGTTCAGTGCTCCTCCTTCGCTCACTGTGTTTACAGACACCTTGTCTGTCAGTTGGGGCTTTGTGACCAGTGCTCACCAATCTGGCCAGGGGCATTGGCTGCTGCCTATGTGTCGGGCTCACATCGCAGTGTGGGAGTTTGCGGCAGTGTGACTGCCACAAATCGCTGCGGAGGATTCGGACGCCCAGATTCTCGGTGATCTGGCTCCATTTGGACTGCTTCCCTCTCATTCATTGTGTGAACCGGGGAGGTGTCTATTCGGTCTGTGGCTTTTTGGAGCTGGTCGCTTTGGGTAGCTCTTCTGCTGTGTTCTTGGGGTTTAGCTCTCCTTGCAGTTCACATTCAGGGGGGGGTGTCCAACATCCTTGCAGACATCCTCGCTTCATTCCTCTTTCCACGGAGTGGTCAGTCGAAGCCTCTTCCTTGGCTTTGCCGGATGTACGGGAGCCCAGAGGTGGAACTCTTCGTGTCGGCATGGTCTTGGCGCCTCTCATTGCATGTGACGCCATTTCCCGACTGCGAGGCCCTTGTGGTAGTCTTTTCAGCAGTGCTCGTGAAGGTTATCCCGAGATAATTTTGATCTTAGCGTCCCCGCAGCCCGGTCCTCGACCAGGCCTCCTTTTTGTTATACACCCCCAGGAAGCAGCCCGTAGCAGCTGACTAACTCCCAGGTACCTATTTACTCCTAGGTAACAGGGGCATCAGGGTGAAAGAAACATTTTGACCATTTGTCTCTCCCTCCACCAGGGATCGAACCCAGAACCTCAGGACTATGAATCTGAAGCGCTGTCTACTCAGCTGTCAGGTGGAGGTGGGGGTTCCTGTAACTCTTCCCCTTGTCCAGTTATTACTCCGGGTTCTGTCTTGGCTGGAATCCTATTGTGGGAGGATTCTCCTCTTGCCCCCGTGGTGGCCGGCTCAGCCTTGGCTTCAGGCGCTGCTGCTCTATGTCCGAACCTGGGCATTTTTCTGCGGCTCCGCCTCTTTCAGCAGGTCGGGTCAGTGAGGTACAGTACCTTGCTAGTTCAACTTACTCCTCTGCAATACATGTCTGGTATTTTTGACGAGGGTGTATTGCCAGTTGTATGGTGATCAGGTGGCTTCTTTGATGGTGTCCTACCTGCAGTTGTATTCTCGGCGACAGTACGAAGTTTCTTGATTGGTTTTCTGCCATTTTTTTCTCTTTGTCAGGTTTCGTCGTGTCAGACAGGGTTGTCCTATTCTTTCTCTCTTGGCTTTTCCTGGATCGGCATCTCATGCCGAATACTGTCACTTCTTATCATGCGGCATTGGTGGAGCGTCTGTAGCTTGTGTTTGTGTTGGATGTCATTTCCGCTCCATTCCTCAAGCTTTCTCGTGCATTTTTCCGGCCTGCTAATGCGTCGCCTGAGCCTTCTTGATCTTTGGACTGGGTTCTTTCCTTTCATCATCACCTCAGTTTGTGGTGGCTCTTTTGGTTCGTGCTTGTTTTTTGTTGGCCTTGGTCTTTGGGGGGTCGGGTTGGGGAGCTTCATGCTCCTCCAGCGCTGGGGGTTTTGTTTGTTTAGTCCTGGTAGTCACTTTGTTCGTTTGCAGCAGTCAACTTCTTTTCTGGTGAAGAATGAGATGGCAGTCTTCCAGAGGGATCCATTGGTTGTGAATGCTTGGTTGGTTAATCATGGGGTGCATCACACGCTGTATCTGGTGGCAGCGTTATGCCGATGCCTGCGATTCTGTGTTGGTGGTCACACTCTGGGTTGTTCCAGTTTCCCTGGTTCCCTGTTCCAGGGCTTGTGTGTGTCACATTGTCTGCAGTGTCATTAAGTCTAGCCAGCATTAAATCTAACACCATGGTGCCCATGATGTCAGGAAGTAGGCCGCATTTTCGACTGTCTTTGGTCGGTTTTCAGACTCGGGGGTTTTGGGGGTCGGTCAAAATACTGGCTGCCAGCTCTCTCGTGACCGTCCTGGACCTTCTGCAGCTTTGTGTTACTTTGGGGCTTCTGTAGCAGATGGCTGTCTCTGTCGGGTTGTGATCTGCGAAGCTGCCGCCTACTGTGTTCTTCTCTTTTTTTCCTTCTGTGGGTAGTTAGCTTTAGAGTGTTGACGGGGCTCCCCACAGAAAACCAGTGTTGAATGTAATGAAACACCAGTTATGGGTGAGCCCCAGAGGCTCCCTGCCAAGTTGGCGGTTTTCATCATTCAAAAAACTACAGGGTGGAGACTTACCCTGGCTCTCCCCCATCCAAGGGGGGGGGGATTACAGCTAACGAGCTGGGGGTTAGTTGGATGAAGTTTTGCTTGTTTGTTTGCTTTCTGAGGAGCTCTTTTGCACTTGTGAAGACGTAGGTCACACTTTTCAACCAGGCAGTAATCTGTTTTGTTTCGCTTACCTTTCTGGGCATCTTACCTGGTCGATTGCAAGATGATATACTTTAAATGTAAAGTGTTCATGGGCCATTGCTCCCTTCGTGTCTCTGAGGGGGCCAGGTTCTGGCTTGTGGTCCCCAGTAGGCTTACAAGGAACTCTGCGACTGATGACACTCGAGTTGTATGGCACTTGATCAGTAAGATAACTTCAGGGAGCCTCCGGGACTTGCCCAGAAACAGGCGTTTCATTACATTCAACGTTGGTTTTTCCTTATTCAGCATTCTTTCCTCCTCTTTCAACTAGAGTATGAGGGCTGCTTGTGTACAAGATTTAAGGTGTAGAAACATACTAGAATGTTATGATATGCTGTATGTTGAAGGTGAAAACCAGGTGGAGTAACACAACTTGACGTGTTGCAGGTTGAGGAGGAGATAGAACGCAGTACATACCCGAGCTTCCTAAAGAGTGAAAGCTACCTGAATTACTTGACAGCTGCCACTCAGCATACTGGTGGCATTGGTGCAGACTCTCCACACACCCTGTCTCCAGGTAGTCCTGGGGCAATCAGCAGCGGAGGAGTGCTGCCCACATTACATGAAGACTGTGAGTACGAGGGCAGTGCAGCAGGCACGCAGCTGCGCCTCACACAGGTAGCTCTTGCAGCCACCGTGAAACAGCGTGCTAGTGCTGAAAGAAGAAAACCTGAAGCTTTTGCTGGGTGAGTCATGACTGCAGGTGTTGATGGTGGCCACTCAGCATTTGCACAGTTGGCATTGCCCACTCATCTCGCTTGGTATGAAGCTAATTTTGAGGTAATACAAAGGGATCTTGTTGATCTTATGCCTCACATCATATACATACGACACCAATGTTTATGACTGACTTCTCCGTTTTGTGGCATGAACTGCTTATCTTAAATACTGTACTATAAAAAGACACTCGAGTGCTGTAGATGTCTTTAGGAAAACGAGTATATTCATGCAGTCTTGTCATCACAACTCGTGTAATGGAAGATAGATAGTTGGTCATCTTGGCTGGAAGGATTACCCATAAGATTGAAAGGGGATTGTGTGTAGAGATTAATGAGGTATTATAGACCTTTAAATAAATTACTGTATTAGTAATTTGGTTCCTTGTGTTGTATTTAGCATAAATGTAGGATAGAAAAACATTTTGGTTCATGACAGTTGTGTTTTCTATGATACGTTCAATTTTTTTGGTTCTTTTGTAGTTATGCAAGTACAGTACCTATTTAATATTTATTTTGTTAAGTTTGGTTACCTAAGTTACAAAGTTTCCTGCACATGCTCTAGTCAATGTTGATAGTAATGGTGTAAAGATGATGGATTGATAAACACAAATCCCTGATATTAAACTTAGGACACTGTTACAGTCCTAGTAAACACAGATGGTTGATATATTCTTGCAGTATTGATTACCTGTCAGTGATAGGATCAATGTCTGCATGACCTGGTCTCTGACCAGGCCTTCTGGTTGGTGGTCTGGTTAACCAGGCTGTTCAGTATGGTTGCCACAGCCTGACGTATGAGTCACAGCCTGGGTGATCAGGTATCCCTGAAAGATATTTGTCCAGTTCTCTCTTGAACACTGGGAGAGGTCGGCTAGTTATGCCCTGTATGTGTAGAGGGGCATGTTGAACAGTCTTGGACCTATGATGTTGATCATGTTCTCTCTGTGCGTGCCTATTGCGCCTCTCCTTTTCAATGAGGCTATCTTGCACATCCTGCCATGCCTTCTGGTCTTGTGTGGTGGTGTTATTTGGAACAAGTCCTTATCTTCACATAAAAATCTTATTATGGGGCATGAGAGAGCCACAAAACTTTACCCTCACATTCACCTGAATGAACTGTTAACTTACACACCCTCACACAATTTATGACTTATTCCAAATATATTAACACAAATTTCTTTACAAAATTTAATAATTTGTTGGTATACAATTATCATAAATGTTTTCTATTTTCGCGGTAAGTGCAGAACTGCTTTGATGCTGGTAAAAGAGAAAAATTTGGAATAAAATGGAAAAATTTATGATATATGTTGCAAAGTTTTATTTAATTTTGTATATAAAGTTGTGGTATTGTATTTAGGATATTAGCGAAGTCATAAATTATATTATTTACCATTTATATTCAATCGGTCCTAACATGGGGATAACAATTTGGAGATTCACTGTTCAAATGCTTTTTAAAATTTTAAAATTATTATTCTTGAATTAGTGGCCAATATACATTTCAGAAAGCTCATATAGGTACCAGTTCAGTAATAATGTGTCCTTGTTAAGAATTATTGCTGATGATTAGAATTATTTCAAGTATGTGAAAATTATTAATTAAATAGCATTCTGTGTATGGCAGTCCAGTTACACATAATATAAGTAAACTTTTACAGTACTATGTTACTTGCCACCCATATTTTTTTTTTATCTCTAGGCTGATGTGAAGCTGGATAATTAGGAATTAGGATGTAGATACTGTATGTACACAGTGATCATTCCATACTTAAATTGCATAAAATGTTAATGTAACTTTGATTTGTATTGCAAGAACTAGAGCTAATTGTAGCACTTTTGGCAGTTAAACTTTAGTAATTACAGTTCCACATTGAGCCTCTAATTAATGTCATGAAGTCATGGGTAGGGGTAGTAAGGAACTGCTGATATACCAATTTTGGAAAATTATAAATGTTCATTAATAAGATAAACCTCTAATACTGCACAAAACAAAAATATATAGAAAAATAAGGTCTGTTAGGAGAATGCAAAGTGCTAGTAACATAGGCCTGCATTTTTTGTTCTGGGTGTCGTACAGCATCTTTGAAATGGTTGACTGCAGTAGGACATGAAAAATGGATAAGAGAGGCCTTCAGAGGTATGAGAATGCTGTCAGTAGGAAGTGGATTGCTGTTGTACGATCCTCGCGCTTCATCACACAGTGTGAGGTCTCTCGTTCAAGCATCATCATTATTATTGAGAGTGAAGTGTGGGTGCTTTATGTTGAACTTATTTCTTTCCTGGAAGGGGATATTGTACAGATAATAGCTCAGAATAGAAATATAAATTTAAAGTGAATGTGAGATATTTGTGACTCTTTCCATGGTGTATTGGGATGGGATTAACAAAACCTGTTTAGGTACTCAGTAGTGAAGATGGAGTTAAACTGAGGAGCCTGATGAAGATATGTGGCCACATGAAGAATATGCAGGAGTAACAAATTACGTGTTTATGTGCGTCTCCAAAGGGAAGTAAAGATTAGACTGTAGTTTTGTGCAGGTGATGCCTGACAATAGGTAATAACATTAGAAATAAAAGAGTGTCGTCGCTTAAAGTCCACTGTCGTTTGAAGATTAATGCGGTGTTAGCTCTTTTGCTTGAATTTTGTTTTCTTGTTCTGCTGTGTAATGAGTTTTTTGTTTTGCTTTTTATTATTAGTTTGCATCACTTGGTTAAACATTTTTCAGTTGTAGTTTAATTTTGCAGATGTTTTCATCTTTTTTATTTTTGTTTAGTTACCATTTTATTGTGTTTATGTTCTAGGCAATATTTGCATGGCAAGAGCAGCTGTGTTGGAGGGGGTGTGAACCCCTACCATGCAATTTACTCCTCGGCGCATGTGTCCAGCAGACAGGACTCAGAATTGCAGAGTCTGAGTTCTGGCGCTCCCACCGACGACACCCTCTCCCGCACTGATTCCTCTGTGTGAGTACACTTGTCTGCACCAGCTTGCTGCTGCTCCACACCATGTTGCACCCACATCACATGGCTCTTATACCATGTGAAACACCATGTGGTGCTCATTATTATGTTGTACTCAATCCATGTGGCACATCATATAGTACTAGTACCTCATTGCACCCTCACCACATTGCTCTCGCACATCATTGCACCCTCTCCACATTGCTCTCGCACATCATTGCACCCTCACCACATTGCTCTCGCACATCATTGCACCCTCTCCACATTGCTCTCACACATCATTGCACCCTCACCACATTGCTCTCGCACCTCATTGCACCCTCACCATATTACACCCACACCATGCGGCACTACCTTCATATACTGTACAGTAGTTTGTCCTGCTTTTGTTCAGCTAGCTTCTGACAGCTGCTTTCTGTTGGTCAAAAATGCCTGCTGAAAAAATGGAAGTATAGCACCTTTGCTGTGATAATCGTGTTCGTTTAACTGACAAATAGTTGTTTCTTGCAAATATTGGAATTATCCAAGGTGCCTAGAAAGGTAGTTAACGAATCCTGTAATATTCGACCAGACATCCAGCCTTCAAAATGGGAATTTGGAGCCGGTAGGTGTTGCTGTCTGTGTTGGTGACTGAAGCAAATGTTACCTTGTTAGTTGCCAAGAGACATGGCAAAAAAAAAACTTTTTTGTGTGTGTGTGTGTGTGTAATTACCCAAGTGTAATTACCTAAGTGTAGTTACAGGATGAGAGCTACGCTCGTGGTGTCCCGTCTCCCCAGCACTCTTTGTCATATAACGCTTTGAAATTACTGACGGTTTTGGCCTCCACTACCCTTTCACTTAACTTGTTCCAACCGTCTACCACTCTGTTTACAAAAGTGAATTTTTGTATATTTCTCCGGCAGCTTTGTTTCGTTAGTTTAAATCTATGACCTCTTGTTCTTGAAGTTCCAGGTCTCAAGAATTCTTCCCTATCAATTTTATCGATTCCTGTTACTATTTTGAATGAAGTGATCATATCACCTCTTTTTCTATCTTCTAGTTTTTACATATTTAATGCCTCTAACCTCTCCTTGTAGCTCTTGTCTTTCAGTTCTGGGAACCACTTAGTGGCATGTCGTTGCACCTTTTCCAGTTTGTTGATGTGCTTCTTAAGATATGGGCACCATACAACCGCTGCATATTCCAGCTTTGGTCTAATAAAAGTCGTGAACAATTTCTTTAGTATTTCTCCATCCATGTATTTAAAAGCAATTCTGAGGTTAGAAAGTGTAGCATAGGCTCCTCGCACAATGTTCTTAATGTGGTCCTCAGGTGACAGTTTTCTATCTAGAACCACCCCTAGATCCCTTTCTTTGTCAGAATTCTTTAAAGAGTTCTCACATAGTTTATAGGTTGTGTGGGGTCTATGTTCTCCAATTCCACATTCCATAACATGGCATTTATTCACATTAAATTCCATTTGCCAAGTGTTGCTCCATATACTTATTTTGTCCAGGTCTTCTTGAAGGGAATGACAATCATCTAGGTTTCTTATCTTCCCTATTATCTTAGCATCATCAGCAAACATGTTCATGTAATTCTGTATTCCCACTGGTAGATCGTTTATGTAGACAGTGAACATTACCGGTGCAAGAACTGAACCCTGAGGTACTCCACTCGTGACATTCCTCCAATCCGATACCTTGCTTCTGATTACAGCCCTCATTTTTCTGTCAGTTAGGAAATTTTTCATCCATGTTAGTAGCTTACCTGTCACTCCTCCAATGTGTTCCAGTTTCCAGAACAACCTCTTATGGGGAACTCTGTCGAAAGCCTTTTTTAGGTCCAGATAGATGCAGTCAACCCAACCATCTCTTTCCTGTAAAATCTCTGTGGCTCGATCATAAAAACTGAGTAAATTCGTTACACAGGATCTTCCAGATCGAAAACCATACTGTCTATCTGATATTTTATCGTTTTCCTCCAGGTGTTCTACCCATTTAGTTTTAATTATTTTTTCCAATATTTTGACTATTACACTTGTCAATGATACAGGTCTATAATTAAGGGGGTCTTCCCTGCTTCCACTTTTGTAGATTGGAACTACGTTAGCCTTTTTCCACACATCAGCTACAACTCCTGTATACTGGGATGCCTGAAAAATCAGTTGAAGTGGAATGCTGAGCTCAGGTGCACATTCTCTCAGAACCCATGGTGAAACTCCATCTGGACCAACTGCTTTGTTCTTACTTAGCTCCTTGAGCATTTTTACCACTTCGTCTCTAGACACCTCTATGTGCTCTATGTTGTTCTCTGGAATTCTTATTGTGCCTGGTTCCCTAAAGATTTCATTTTGTACAAACACACTTTGGAACTTTTCGTTTAGTGTTTCACACATTTCCTTTTCGTTTTCCGTGAATCTATTTCCCATTTTCAACCTCTGAATATTATCCTTTACCTGTAATTTGTTGTTTATGAATTTATAGAATAGATCTGGTTCTGTTTTACATTTGTCTGCAATCCCTTTTTAAAAATTTTCTTTCTGCCTCTCTCCTCACTGCCGTGTAGTTGTTTCTCGCATCTTTGTATCGCTGGTATGTTTGGGGGTTTGGCCTCTTCCTGTATTGATTCCATTTTTGTGTCTTTTTGGTCTCTGGCTCTCTCCCAATTTCTATTGAACCAATCCTGTTTCCTAGTTCTGCATCTCTGTTTTGGTATACATTTTTTTGTGCCTTTATCATATATTTCACAAAACTTGACATACATCTCATTCACTTCCTTTCCTAGCATCAAGTCTGTCCAATTATACTCACTAAAAAAATTGCTAAGGTCGCCATAATGTCCTCTCCTGAAGTCTGGTTTTTCAACAGCTTCAACCTCCTTATTTTCTTCCAGATTATAACGCATTGCATACTTTATTCCCAAAAAGACATGGGTCACTTTTACCCAAGGGAGGAAGGTACTGAATGTCAAATATTTCTTCCTCCTTCCTGGTAAATATCAAATCTAGCATGGAGGGAACGTCCCCTTCCCTCATCCTCGTAGCTTGTTTTAACATGTTGATACAAGAATGTTTCCAGGATGAGGTCTACAAATCTACAGGTCCAAAATTCTTCTGTTTTAGCTTCATATGCTTCCCAGTCTATGGATTTCAGATTGAAGTCACTGACTATCAACAGTCGTGATCTATCGTTATTTGATATCTCTATAATCTCTCTCATTATTGTTATAAGACCTTCTCGTTTACTATCTAGCTCCTCCTTTGACCATGTGCTGCTTGGCGGTGGACTATATGCATTTATCATCATTAGTTTATCATCCTCATAGCAGATCTCTAGTGCTATTATGTCAACTTCTTGTGGATTGGCAGTCATTATTTCCTTCACCTTTAGGTGTTCTTTTACCAGCACAGCAACGCCACCGCCTTTCCTAATTTTTCTGTCCCGTCTCCAAATTGAGTAGCCCCTTGGGAATATGACCTCATTTAAAATTACATCTTCAAGTTTTGTCTCCGTGAATGCAACAATGTCTGGTGTTTGCAGCTTACATCACTTAACTCCAGTATCTTCGATCTCACTCCCTCTATGTTGGTGTATGCAATCTTCAGGAACTTGTTCCCCTCTCCTTATTCTTCACTCCCCCTCTCTCTATTGATTTTGTTGGTTTGCCTTTATGTACCACTTTACTGGTCTGCCTACCCCTATCACTTTGTAGAAAAAAAAAAATTGATTTCTTCTTCATTCCTGCTCTCATTTAAACATTTTGCCTCGGCGAGGTTCAGTTTCAGCTTCAGTTTCTCTCTGTCTTCTTTTGAAAGATCTCGTCTTAACGACCACACTTTCCCATCCTCATCACTTTGTAATTTTCTAGCAGGTGATGTGTGTGGCGGTCACTCCTCATTACTTTTTGACTCATAATTGCAACTTAGTGGTTCGTTATGGTGAACAAAACAGGCAGATACTTATATATAACCTGTGTATATAGTGTAATAACCGACAATGTATTTGCTCACTGTTTGATGAACATAATTGAATAAAAAATATGCACACCATATTTTTGAGTACAGCGAAGATTCACTCATTTTATTATATAAATATATCACACTACACACTATTGAAAAATATTACAGCAAAAAGAACTACGAATAATCAATCAGAGACATTGAAATAATTAGATAATTATCTCTCTGTGGCAACTCCGGCCTGACAGCTGGCGAGCAACGGACCGTCTGGGACACACGCTGAGTCAGCGCCTGTTTCTTGCCAGACTTCCCCGCCCTATAGCAGGCAATATATGCCACTTAAGATTTTTTTATTATTTTTCCCATGATCAGTGAACACAAATTAACAGCTTTAGAAGAAAAAATTTTTTTTTTTTGGGGGGGTATATGCCTGTGAGTGACACATGCTAAATAGCCAGGCGCCATACAAGGGTTAAGGAGGTTTTTGGCTTCCCATATCCCACCAAGAGAAGCGCGGGAGGCCCTTGCGGCTTATCTCCTGTTAGATGCAGATTATGTCTCGATAATGGATCTTTCTTCTTTTGAGCCTGCTCCTCTTTTTCCTTACTAGGTGTATTACAAGGTGCAGGAGTCTTCTTGGCTGGCAGACTGCCCTTTTCTTTTCGTTGGGGCTTGGCATTCGTTTCTGTCGGACCTGTGCGCTTGAATGACAAGAGTTGACTACGGTCGTTAAGATTTACCTTGGGGGCGAGTTGGAGCACCTCAGTGCATACTTGTGTACCCTGTCCTTTGTCGTGATGTTGGCCAGTTGCAGCGTTCTCGTGCAGGTTCCCTCCCTTTCGGCATCCCTGGTGGCCGAAGATTCGCGCACCCGTGGGCATTTGGCTTCGGTTTTGCAATTCTTTTTTTTTGTTGGAGCTGTCTTCGGACTGGCTTGAGAAGGATGTGGAGAAGCTGGGTTCCGGGCTGATGTCCATTGCGCATGCTTCAGCAGCTCGGGTGTCAGCTGCCTTGCTGAAGTTGTATGCGCCGATTCTGAAAGAGGCGGCATTTGTTCTTTA